CAAAGATATTGAAAATGCGAGGAATGGTTTGCAATTTACGAGGGTCAGCTGTATTGCAGTACATTATATTTTGGTTTATCATACACATGAAAAAGTGCATAGTTATGCAGTATACCTGCCAGGTATACCTTAAAAATGTTTATATAATAGGTGGATTACATAAATGGTCTAGGTCTCAATCTCTGTACGTTTGGTCATGGTCTTTATACCTTTGGTCTCGACACTTTTGATCTTGACTCTGAGTCTCAAACACACGCACATGCACTCACCCTCCTGGAGCTCCCTTCACTTGTTCTCTTCTTCACTGAAGGGCTTGTGGTCAAAGGAATTGCAGCTACTATTCTCTGCCTTGAATCAAAGCTGATCACGTCCCATTCCTCGGGTGTTGTATGGCCCCGATGGGTTTAGTACTCACTCCATAATTATAATAATGTTGACTCCACTCATCTGATGCACCATATACTTTAGTGTTTATAAAGAAATGTTTCCTGTTATTTTTTAACCAAATTTTTGTTATATACAGTGGATTTTGTTATTTTTGCTGTTCTATTTATAAAAAAACTGATTCCCTTTCAGTTGTTGCACCAAGCTGTGTTTGGTAAGGTCATGCTTCAGCTCCTGGCCATCTCCAAACTAATTTGATCAACATTACTGTACTAATTTTTACCTTCTTGGGCCTTATCATACCTTTTCTTGAAGTGACATAAAAATTTACCTCTTCCACTTCTTCATCCAGTTTTTCCTTACTTTTCAATCACCCTGAGACTAAAATAATAATTACTGACATTGCTAATGACTCATATGTGACCCCTTGTTCCTATATCTCTTAGTTCAGTCTATCCCTATCTGCCATGTCTATTCCTCTAAAATACATTTTGTATACAATAATCATTTCTTCCCTTGTCATTCTCTCTGCAAAGTTCAGTGCCTTCAGCCTCCATAGTGCATTTTTTAGTTTTTGTCCACCACTTTATTTGTGGAGAGATAAATCACCAAACAGAGAGTTGAAACCCATGACAAGCCAGTCCAAAAACTAGCAGTCCAGTGTCCTAGTTTTAGGACTGGGTTTACCAGAGCTTGGAGAGTTATTTACAATTTTGTCATTACAGTTTTGCGAGTCTTGCTCTACTCTTTCTGCAATTTAAAGATGGCTTTACCTGTTTGTAATTATTGAACCTATTTTAACCTACAGGAGGAGAGCTAAGCTAATGCTGTTCTGTAATAATGTTGGTAGAATTACCGACAATATGTAAAGTAAAATGACACAAGTGCAACTAATGTGACATTTTATTGTGGCAACGTTTCGCTCTCCAGGAGCTTTGTCAAGCCGATACCGGCTTTGTCAAGCCAATATCGGCTTGACAAAGCTCCTGGAGAGCGAAACGTTGCCACAATAAAATGTCACATTAGTTGCACTTGTGTCCTTTTACTTTACATAATGCTGCTGTCTTCAGCTTTTTTTTTTTTTCCTAATTTCCATTGTAATGTTTACTGCCTCTTGCATCCCATTACATTGTTGGACTACATTGTGTTCATCTGTGTTGTGTTCAACCATGTTGTGAAGAAAAACTGCATCACATTCTTAACGCATCTTTTCTTGTCTCAACTCACAACTCGGGGCTTTTGTTCTCCTTGTTGATGGTGCTAAGAAATCATCTATTCTTTTGTGATTTTCATATCAGCTTGCTTTTTTTTTTTTTTTTTACTTTCTTTCAAATAGCCTTGCCTCATACCTCAAAATTTTTTTTTTTTTTACTTCTGGCAGCTATTTTGTAGCCATATTTGAAATTTGTGTCTACTTTTTTTTTTAGGTGTAGGCACCATACCATTGCTGTATATTCCAGCTTTGGCCTTACCTATATTGTGAATAGTTTTTTTTTAGTATTCCATGCATATCTTTGAAGGCTATTTTAGTTTTCCTGTGTAGAATATGAGCTTCTAGTAATTTATTTATATTATCCTTTTGGTGACAATCTTTTTGTCAGTATTGACTCCTAGGTCCCTTACTCTCTCTGTCACTTTCAAATTTAATCTCAATCTGTTATTTCTTTCTGCCTCTGTGGGTCATTCAGTGCCATGAAAACTGAATATAGAGAACATTAACTTTAACACCTACCAATACTCTTCATATACGTATATATGTACAGTGGACCCCCGCATAACGATTACCTCCGAATGTGACCAATTATGTAAGTGTATTTATGTAAGTGCATTTGTACGTGTATGTTTGGGGGTCTGAAATGGACTAATCTACTTCACAATATTTCTTATGGGAACAGATTCGGTCAGTAATGGCACCTGAACATACTTCTGGAGTGAAAAAATATCGTTAACCGGGGGTCCACTGTACTTTAAACTAAAAACTACACATAAGTTTGCTTTAAGAGACTAATTTATAGAAACATCAGCTAGCAGCCAGACATCTCTTTCTAGTAATTACTGTACATTTAATAATAATTGATTTTCTCCATAGGGAAGTGGAGAAGAATCATTCCTTTGTAAGCCATGCCTGTCGTAATAGGTGACTAACGTACCAGGAGCAAGGGGCTAGTAACCCCTTCTGTATGAATTACTAAATGTAGACAGAAGAAAACCTTTATGTTTCTTCATTTTTCAAGTCACCCTGCCTTAGTGAAGAGGGCCACTGCGTTAAAAAAAATTGAATTTCCTCATGAAACCCTCCTCTTCCTAGGATCAAACCTGATTACACCCCACCCCTCCCATTCTCAAAACACTAAATAACATTTATGGTTTTAGTGCTTCCCTATAAATAATCATTAATTAAGCCTATGCTGTTGAACTAAATCACAACACAGCCTTTCATAAAAATTAAATAATTGTTGTTTGGTAGTCAGAGGATGAGACACTAGGACCAGTATGCAATGGTGACATCTCCTAGGAAAATCATTATCTATGTCATGACTGTCAGTCCAGGTGCAGGCAGAGGGGAAAGAGAAATTCATATGCACTTATATTTGGCATTTTACAATTTTGCACCTTTCCCATCATTTCTGTTAATTTGAATTACATGTATTACTTACCTAACTTCCTGCCTTTTTCCTCGTCATACCTATACAAATTGGTACAACTGTGCTGCTTGTGTTATTACCTCGGATAATGACACACCACCAGGCCCCTTCTTGACTTGTTCTTATTACTTCACAAGTATGATTGAGTATGTCTTTCCTCATGCCAACCCTGACAAGACTCCTGGAGTGATTGTTACTCATGCTATTCATGTGCTCATTACTTTATCACTAGTAGTTCTATTTTTGTGATAAAAATATTAAAGAAACTTTTACATTATCAACCTGATAGACTTTCTCTACCAAGCTATACATTCACAACTGCATTTCATTTCCTCTTTTACACCTTCACATGTGCTGTGATTATCTCCTCTCTTGTCATCACCGATGTATTTATATCACAGCAAGCATCCATACCCTGGGTACAAGAAGCACCTAAATCTGGAGATGAATAACCTTTCACATGTTGTATGACCTTTCACTTTATATGACCTTTCACATGTTATATGACCTTTCACATGTTACATGACCTTTCACATTTTACATGACCTTTCACATATTACATGACCTCTCATACATTTGACCTCTCATATGTAACTGCTCACATGTACCGTGATCTCACACGTGACTCACGAAATCGTAATAACACAGTTGCAAACAAACCACAGTACTAGTGGGGTTAGAACCCATGGCAAGTGTTCTAACCCCACCCATACCATGCTTTATCTCACACATCACCTTATACAACTCCTCACACATTCTGTGACCTCCCATAACCTTTTATACATCATATGATTTACAAACTCCATAAACAGTTTCAGTACTAAATATGATTAATCCAAAGAAACTAGGAATTAGTAATACTGGCCAAGGTAGTTTAGGAAGCAGGGCCATGAAGTGACACTATACCCCATAATCATAATTCGGTAGTACGTATATAAAAAAAATTCTTGTGTTAGTTTCCCTTAAACACCCCCTCCCCCTTTACCTATGTTTTGTGATAACTGTTTTTACATAACTACCTGACTCGAAAACATTAACAGCAATGGAAGACTTTTGTATACTAGTGAATATTTTTTCTCCACTTATAACTTTGACTTGCTTTAAAAAACCCATTCTTACCAGCTTTCATCCTTTGATTCTCATATCGTTCACATGTTATATCATATTCTTGGATTCCTTTCCAGCTTTTAACATTATAATAGTATTACTCAAACCAATTTTGTGTTCACTTAATTTTTAAATAATTTTGCCAGTGGAGTCTCGTATTTTCTTTATAGTATTTTACTTGCAATAATTCAACTATAAATAATATAACTATTCCATATTGCATCTTTCTTTATAACTCTTCTTGGAAAAAGAGGCCACTGATTAGGGATTGTGTCCATCTCATAATTAGTATGTCTTATAATTAGTAGACAGAGACCTGTGCCACCACCACTCAGGCTGAATCACCCACACAGGTTTTGCATAAAGTATAAGTCTAGTTTCTTCAGTGTTTCTGTCTTTTGCTTCGTATCATTATCTTCTTTTATAGTAAATTCTCTTGTGTGTGTGCATGTGTTCTTCTTTCATCTTGAAGAAAATGCATCAATAATTTTATTTTTAGTTGTGCGTTTGTTACCTCGGAAAGACAAAGTCTTAGAGGCTGTTAAGTATCGGCTCATTCTTCAGCATGGTGGTGCCACTCTATCACATATCAAGTGATATACAGGACTAGAGTATCCCTTTCATTTTGCTGTGTGATAGTTGTATTTTTAAGGCTAACATTATGGTTATACAGTGTTTTGGAAACTACGAAAGTTAATAAGAAAAAACTATCATTCCTCCCCTTAGAAAGATAATTCTGAATTATATTCGAGTTATAAGTCTGAATTATAATATTGTGAATTATAATTTGGGTCCGTTTTAGCGTGAATGGTCATGGAAACGGAAGATGTATACAAACCGACAAATGGTTAATCAAAATAAGCATAGATTAAAAATATTTATTATCATCACTCGCTCTAGAAGACAAGAAATAGTAGCTTCCTCTCGGGAAATCTTGGCGACCAATCACATCCAAACAAAGATTTGTACACTTTACAAGAGAGGTAACACAAGAGAGTTCTCAGGGAGGAGTCTCGATACGAGGAACCAAGGCAAGTCGACACCAAACTCCAAAGAATTAAAGTGTAGTCTCGCATTCAACATTCACCATAATGTACAGAGAGTTTGTGAGAAATGCCTCATTCACTTGATATGGACTGCAGATGGGAGCCTGTGAGATTCACAAGAAGTCTGTTTCTTCCTAGGTACCCAGCGTGTTCTTCCTAGGTACCCAGTGTGTTCTTCCTAGGCAACCAGTGTGTTCTTCCTAGGCACCCAGTGTGTTCTTCCTAGGCACCCAGTGTGTTCTTCCTAGGCACCCAGTGTGTTCTTCCTAGGCAACCAGTGTGTTCAAAAATATCAAACTGTTCAATTTTTCTTAAGCAAGAACAAGAAGAGTTTCCTCTGATTAGATTTATTTTAAAGTTTTATTGAAGAAATAAAAATATTTTCATTTTTACTTTATCTGGTGGAATGTTTACTAGGCAGGTTCATAAACCAATCAAACTACTGTACAGAATAACAAAAAGAAAATGGCTGATATAAGGAGACAGTTTGAAGAGAGAACATAGAAGAGAGTTTACATGCTATTGTATAAGAAAATGCCAAGATGATAAATGCCTTTTTAAAGCATAATATTTTGTTCAGTGAAGGTTATCGTATAAAACCAAATGTGGAAAAGCCTCTGGCTTGCAGTCTCCCTTTGCATATTGCTTGTACAGAATTTTGATTAGAAAAAACACTACTACTCCTTGGAAAATTTGTACAAAGATACAAGTATTAACTGCTGTTCATGTAGTCAGAAGAAAATATAGGATAACAATGTCATATACCCTGCCAGTCATCCATATTATATATGCATTATAATGAAGTCCCATTTGGTATAAAAAGATAATGAAATGCTTTACAAAATGTAACATGTAAGAGGTAAAATTAAATTCATGAACAAATGATGTCAAACCAAACAAAGCTATAATGTAAAAGGTTACATACAATATATTTAGGAAAAAAAAAAACGTAAGATAGTTGACAATACACTCAATAATCTTGAGGCATCTTAATAACTGTTGCTTACTATAAACTTAAGAGCACATTTGACTACCTACACTTGGATACCTGAAGTTCTCTCAGGAATAGTTGAAGAAAATGATAATAGTAAAATCGTCTGTGCAGTATGATGCATGCAAAAATAACATTTCTGCCAATGTGATAAATGAAGGTTATAAATGCAGATTCTATATGTATAAAAAAAAAAAAGAAGGAATTTTGTGCAGGATACTTCCCATACCTGGAAATATTGCTAGTGTAGGCCGTGTACCATACTTAAAACTTATACTACTACAAATATACACACACACAACATAAAGACTCACTCTTGATAACATTCTCACCAATATCCATAAAATACTTTCCACTTGCAAGCCAAAGTATAAATACTTCACAGGAATCATCACACCACACAATGGTCATTCAGCCATAAAACATGAATAAAAAGGAACAACTACCATCTCTCACGACAAGCAGATTTGCAAAGGCTCACGTTTCATTCTTCTGAATGACACTGTATTAAAATATTAACGGCCCATCTTTTTTATGAGAATGACAATATAACTCAAGAGAGAATGTAATAACCTTGTAACTCTGACCAAAACATTGGTCCCTATTAATTTTTCTCTAAATAATATAAAAGTTACAAAGCATTCACAAGTGTGCACCACTGTCGATATGAAAACAGGCCATAAGAGAAGCTTCATGGGAAGCTTCAGGGTACATGAAGAATGCTCTCTGCTACCCATATCCACACGTCTGCCTTAGTAGCTTAAATCACCTTCTTACAGTCGGTTATGAGCTTAGTTCCTAAGGAGGATTGTCAACCCTTCTTGTGTAAAGTCAGCAGAGTTTTCACCTCTGTATCTTTGAAGTCCATAGTTCAATTGTAAAAAATTTCCCATAAAACCCTTGATCACAATGATTTTCTAAAATCAGTCATGTTCTACAACAAAAGATTTTTAATTTATATTTTGATATTTTTTCTATTAAAATAATAAAAACTATTAACATTTCAATTTATTAAAAATGCTTCAGTGATGGATTGCCAACTATTTTGTAATACTTGTTGGCCTGCACCATCTGCTTCACTCCACAGCTCTCCTCTCATGGACAACTTCACTGTACCAGGAATGTCCTAATCTGAGGTCATTCCAAATAAACATTGCCATTCCTGAAGCTATGCATTCATTCTTAGGTCTACTTCATATAAGAGAAGCTAAATGTGTAAATTTGTGTGGGCTACTGACTGATTGCTGGACTCTTCTTATCAGTCTCCTGGGGTTGTCGTGCAGGGTCAGGCCAAGGCCCACCAGGACCAGCGGTCATCGGTGAATTGTTGAATGGGGTGGGTCCAGCAGGACCGGGTCCGGGACCCCCAGGTCCCGCTCCCTGCGGTGCACCACCATTACCGCCATCTTCTACGCCGGTGGTGTCGTACTGCGTGTTCTCTAGCCGGGTTATCAGCCGCTCGTCTTCATCTCCAAACTCGCCACCCATCAGGGACGGCTCGCCAACCACCATCACATCCTGCTAACACACACACCACACACCTCAGTATGCACATCACCTTAACAGTGCAATAAACTATCCTAATCTTTAGGATTTAATCTACTTTAATGCACAACAAATTCACTTTGATCAGTAATTTTGGATAGAATTTTACTGTAGTCACTTCATCTACCACTACCAAATATAGTACCTATGAAGCATAAAGTTAATGTTTAGTAGCACTTGCATCACTTATTATCTAGGGTTAAAATGTTACCTAAAAAATGATCCTATGATCTTGACATAGTTTAAAATAAGAGAGAAGTCTTAAAACCAAGTGTATTTCTTTTGTTATTCTGTGAGACTAGCCCTACTAATGCCATGGCTACACTTTTGTGTGTAGATCTGCATTGTATTACTTGTAACATTCAATACCTTCTTCCCACCTATCATGTAAGGCAGTGCAAACTAATGGTTTATACTTAATATAGCATTTTAATGCTGACTACCTATTGCTGTGCCAGTTTTTGAGCAATGCTGTAATTTTAAGTATATAATAAACAACAGTTTTCATAGGATATAAAAACCTGGTACTGTAACACAAATTAAATGCCATAGAAAAGTAACTCAAAAAAGATTACTGGGTAGTTACCTAAAATGAAAAAATATAGAAAAGAAAATAACTTAATACTCATTATTCTTAGACACTAAATTGTTCAGAATTGAATAAAAAACTTTTTTAGTCTTAGTCCTACTTTAAGTCTGTCCAAAATAATGTGTATAAATATGGGCTTTTCATAAAAGTAACAAACATACTATTAACCCAATCATGTAACACTTAAGATACTTGTGCAGAAATAAATTTACAGCGTTATATTATTGAATCGAACAGATTTACCGCATGGTATGAGAGGGATAACATGGTATCAGATGAGAAGAACAACATAGTGTAAGTGGGATAAAAGGGTATAAGATGAGAGGTATACCTTGCCATCTTTTTCTATGCTGACACTGACAAGTGTCAGTGTTCCTGCATTTCATTACTGTACTTTAATTTTTTCCTAGTCTTAATTTTGCTGATGTTAATTCTTTATAAAATGCGCATTATCTTATTAGAATTCTTCGAGTAATGAAAAATAAAATTTAAGTAAATTGCGATTGTGCTTGGAGGTGGTAGTGAGAGCCTCAGTGCAACTCTCTTACCATTCTATGCTACACGTGCTTCCTACTTTATCATTAATGTCAATTTTGCTACTCTAGCTATTAAATGTTCACGCAGTAAAGAAAGCATAAATAAATAAGGTTCACTTCTAAATAAGTGCTGTATGACCCCCACAGATTCAGGGCTTTTCATGGAATATAATAATAATAATAATCCACTCCTAAGAGCTGAATTTGGGAGTTGGGAAATAAGAGTGCCTGCACTTTAAAGAATGGGTGGGGTGTTACAATTCTGGAGGTGGGAAGTACAGTGCTTGTACTCTAAAGAATGGGTGGGGATGTTACAGTTCTGGAGGTGGGAAGTATAGTACCTACACTGAAGAATGGGTGGGGATGTTATAGTTCTGGAGGGTCATTTGAATGGTGATATCTGTGCACCTCTGGCAAGACAGCTATTGAATGAGTGATGGTAAATGTTTGTATCTTTGGATCACCCTACTTTGGTGGGAAATAGCTGGTGTGGTTACCAAAATAATAATACTGTTGCTAACAATATTACTAACAACCACCTGATGGAACTCTCCTGCAAATATTCCTTAAATCATAAATGGGAATACACTGCACCATATGGTCACATTTACAATAATAATATCTGGATGTGATGATGTCTACACAATATTCCTTAATATAAATTTTGCTTTGTAACTCATAATGAAGAAATTAAATGTTTTACTTAAATTATTTTATAATTCTTATAACATAATTTACTGAAGAGTAATATTAAAATAATCAGTGTAGAGTATATGATATATGTAAATGTAGATATTAAAGAAGCAGTTGTGGGGAAGATAGAGAGATGGGGAGGGGGAGAAAAGTGAGGAAAAGAAGGGGAACAGAGAAAGGTGAAATGTTGAGAGAAAGGGAAGAGTGAAGGGAAAAAGGGAAAAAGGTAAATACTGAAGGGGGAGGAGTGAGAAGAGGGCAAAGAAAAGTGTGTGTAGAGGAAATAAAAGAAGGGAAGGGAGGAAAAGGGACAGAAAGAAGTTAGAAAAATTGGTGGTAAGAAAGTCAAAAAAAAAAAAAAAAAAAAAAAAAAAAGTAAATAAATAGGAAGAGGAAGGATGTGAAGACCATATTTACTCCCACCTGACATAACTAACCAGAAGACAATTCTTGTACCACAAGCAGCTTCACCGTGGCTGTACTCTTCAAGAACATAGTCATTCATTCTTACAACTCATCAGACATGGTACAGGTTTTCACAACACACAAGCTTCAAAGACAGCAGTGGCATGCATCTAGTTTCACATTCACTCTTTTCTTTTTTACCCAAAAAGAAGAAAAAATAATTTTCTTCTTTTTACATTTAGTAATTTATACAGGAGAAGGGATTACTAGCTCCTTGCTTCTGACATTTTAGTCTCCTCTTACGACACGCATGACTTACAGAGGAAAGATTTTTCTCCATTTCCACATGGAACCTTTTCCTTATATATTATTTATTTATTATTATTATTATTCATGGGAGTGCTAAACCTGTAGGGGTCATACAGTGACTTTCTTGAATCAAGAGCCTATCACTAGCATCAAGGTATCTTCCCTAGGAGTATGTTGCTTAATACCTGTAGATGAACTATAAAAGCAATACTGTAGTGCTAGAGCCAGAATTTTAAATAAGCAGATGTAGGATAACAGCTCTTAAATTGTAAAATAAATGTAGGCACTCTTGGCCTAACCTCTTAAAAAACTGTGTGAATTCATTTAAAAATATTTGGGTACTGTAGTTTTTAATAGAACAGTGTAAGCCACTTAAGGTTCAAAGTCGTAGTTCTTCGGCTTTGAAGCCAGGGTCCAAGCCGTAGTACTACATCATGAGCTCAGCTCACTCAGATAAGCTGTGAGCAGTAAATTTGGGCCTAGATATGAAAGAATGCATTTATGTGGTAAGTGTGAACCATATAAAGCAAAGCCTGCAGCACTCAGTGCATAATGAGAAAAAAAACTGCGACAGTGTATTTATTTGATAGAATGGAAGCTATATTACAGAAATAGAGATGATTTTGATTAGTTTTAGTAATGAAAATAGCTTGAAATCGAGCTCAAAGTAGTGGAAATGTTCGATCTTTGCCAATGTTCAAGAGTAAGCAAATCACATCATGTGTCCAATACACGTCAGCTGGTGGGTCTAATGTGCGTTCATGAATGCGCTGATATTATTTATACAATTATTACAATACAGTGGACCCCCGGTTAACAATATTTTTTCATTCCAGAAGTATGTTCAGGTGCCAGTACTGACCGAATCTGTTCCCATAAGGAATATTGTGAAGTAGATTAGTCCATTTCAGACCCCCAAACATACACGTACAAATGCACTTACATAATTGGTCGCATTGGGAGGTGATCGTTAAGCGGGGGTCCACTGTATTGCATAACAGTAAATCATTTATTTTTTGGTGTGAATAAAAATTCTTCATGTGAATAAAAAATCAAAATGTATTTCATCTGTAAAGCCTGGAAACATAACTGATAAACAGAGGAAATGTTGTTTTAGTGCCAGGAATGCCTGCATTGTTTATTCTGGACCCTATTTTGAAATTGGCCTTTCTTGAATTTTGTGAGAAATTGGCCAAAATAGTAATTTCAGATCACTTTATTGGGTAGTTGAAATAGGTAAATGGGCAGATTCTTGTACTCAGTTTAATAGAATAAAAGGAGTGAGTGCTAGCGAAATAGCTATGAGTTTGGTGGACTGGAATAATGGAATTGGCCCAAAATAGGGCTCAAAGTGGGCAAAATCGCCGATGCATAAATATCGCAGAGACCGCTAACTTTGTGATAGTGTAATTCTGTAAGTCTTCCATCAAATTTCATACTTTTTGTTTTATTACATTCATAAAAAGATTCTATCATTTCAAAAGAAATATTTTTTTTTTTTTTTTTTAAATTCTTGAACCCTGTGGAGGATTTTCAGATTGGGGGTCTGGACCCTCAAAGGGTTAACATTCGTGTATTTATTCAAGAAAAGAGCTCTGTATGAACCATTTGGGTTTAGTACTTATTTGCAACTATAATAATTCAAGAGAAATACTGACTGCTTGTTCTGAAGTGTGTATCCTAAGTGCTTTATGCATCAGTCATGTTTATGAACTAATGCAACTGATGCAGCCGCCTGTGTTGCATTTACTCTTTGACTAAAGTTTCTTCAGTCTAATTCAAGTACTTATTATTATCAAGGTGAGGTGGTGAACCTGTGATAGATATACTACACTAATCACTATATTACAGAACAGGTTAGATTATTAAATATGGTTAATTAAGATTTTTGGACAGAAAAAAAAGTTAATGCATGTTGGCTGTTAAATTTAAGTTATACATAATCAGGTACGGGCCACTTTACTTTTAGAAGTATAGTAAACCCTCTATTTAATGGACTTCTGAAATATGAAACAAAATCCACTCGGTCAATAGACTTAGAAACAATGGACAAAATCCTTTGGTCACAGAACTCTTCATGATCGCTGCAAAACAATCTTTTCTCTATACACCACAGCTGCCATTACTGGCCACCCATTCCCCTTGTTAGCCCATTAAATAGAGGGTTTACTGTAATTTGTACATATTGTAGGCTGGTATGGGTTACTTTGCTAGTTTGTCAAAAATCATAATGCAATACAGAATAAAAATTATTTAGAGATAATTTTGTCTCTGCTAGAAGACAGAATTATTGTCAAATGAATTTATTATTTTACTGTTATTGTATCTGCTCCAATATGGTAACTATTACATTTTTATACAATAGAAACCCAATAAATGCATGTCTAAAGAGAGTGGTTTCAAAGCAACACTAATGAAATATTGTATCCATCTCCAAACTGTGCTGGAAAATTACCAACAACATACCATAACATTTTAAAAAAATAAGCTGGGTGGTGTGTATATGAACATTCCTAACCCATAATTACACTATAGCTATACATTCCCACGCCTTTAACAGTCATTTACCGCTTCATCATTTTTTATGTAGTTATTGACTATGTTGGTAATTGATATTATTATTATTATAATCAAAAAGAAGCGCTAAGCCACAAGGACTATACAGCTGGTAATTGATAATAGTGTTAGAGATAATTAAATGAAAAAAATTGTGCAGTGAAGGGATGAAAATGTTTGCTTTAAGTTTCCAGGGACACTGCAGCATACACCACATAGGTCCTCCCCACCACTTGAAGTAGGGTTCATATAGCACATGGAGTCGTAGCCTTTAATTAATAACCAACAACAAAAATCTTCTGTACTGGCCTAAGTGGAGTACTGACATCTTGCTCTACCCTGGCCCTCAGCATCATTGATGAATTTGCCCTATTTTATTCCTGGGACATTTGTCTTCATCATATACATCCTGGTGGGCAATTGGTTGGGGGACCATACATCAGCTCCTCTTTTTGCTTTGTGGATTTCTAGACCTGGGAAAAGCCAGTTGCTGATTAAGACTGGGAAAGGAGCATAGGCATGTCTCTACCATGGTTTAGGCAACTGGAGTTCACCTGACTTTATTGGCAACAATTATTCTCACATTTGTTTCCTTTCAAAATCCTGGTCAGAATTGGATAATATTTTCCCCTCAGAATCAAGGCAGCAGGGCTCAGTATAGTGTAAGCTGTGGTAGCTATCAACATCAGCAGCAGCAACTATTGCGCCATTTTATTACACTACTATTGCACTTTTCTTCGTTATTACTTTCTTAAAAAATGCAGATAGGCTTGAATGATATGCAAAATAGGCTTAGTGTTCTATGACCCATATGGGTTTAGTAATTTTTAATATAGCGATGCAAATTAAGTTTGTTCCTTGACAAAAAAAAATTTTTTTAATCTTAAATAATTCAGTCAGATGGTGTTAAAAGTTTAGTGAATATTACAGAGTTTATATTTGATGAACAAGACAGGTGTGTAACACTTGGGTAGCTTTATTGATGAGATGTTTTGCCTGTACAGCAGACTTTTTGAATCTGGCACATAACTGACTGTTATACTGGAGAGGCAACTTGAAGGACATCAGTCCCTTACCCTTGATTTATTGTAGAACAAGGTTAAGGTGACTGAAGACCTATCAAGTCTTAAGGTACTGAAGACCTATGAAGTCTTAAGATACTGAAGACCTATCAAGTTTGAAGGTACTGAAGACCTATCAAGTCTTAAGATACTGAAGACCTATCAAGTTTTAAGGTACTGAAGACATATCAAGTCTTAAGGTACTGAAGACCTATCAAGTTTTAAGGTACTGAAGACCTATCAAGTCTTAAGATACTGAAGATCTATCAAGTTTTAAGATACTGAAGACCTATCAAATCTTTAGGTACTGAAGACCTATCAAGTCTGAGGGACTGAAGACCTATCAAGTTTTAAGGTACCGAAGACCCATCAAGTCTTAAGGCTCTGAAGACCTATCAAACCTTAAGGGACTGAACACTTTCAAATTACCTTTCCGCTTCTTCTGTCTTCAGTATAACAATTGCCTCTGTATTAAATAGAACAAAAGCTTACTGTTTAGGTGAAACATCTTGCCAATAATGATACCCAGGTGATGCAAGTATGTCTTATTGTTGTTCCTGTATACCATTAATGTAATGAAAGTTAATTGTTTGCACAGCTTAGTATTTATATACAACAGGTTGGGTAATAAAACTAAGCTCTTATTTATTCCCCGGCTTCATTTATTTATTTCTATTGCTTTTATCTATTATTGTCTAATATACACACACATGCATGCACGCACGTGCACACAGTGCAAAAGCTAAAGGAGCAGGCAGGAATAAAAGGAAAGGCACTGTAATGGATCAGAGAATACCTAACAGGAAGGAAACAACAAGTGATGGTATGTGATGATGTGTCAGACTGGGCACCTGTGATGAGTGGGGTTCTACAAGGGGTCAGCCCTAGGGCCAGTGCTGTTGATGGTATATGTCAATGGCATGATGGAAGCGTTAGATTCAGAGGTGTCCCTGTTTGCAGACGATGTGAAGCTGATGCAGAGAATTCAAGTGGATGAAGATCAAGTAGGACTACAAAAGGATCTGGACATGCTGTAAGCCTGGTCCAACAACTGGCTCCTGGAGTTTAACCCCACCAAATGCAATGTCATAAAGATTGGGGAAAGTCAAAGAAGACTGCAGACAGAGTACAGGCTAGGAGGGGGAGGGGACAAAGACTCAAACCTCACTCAAGTAAAAGGATCTTAGGGTGAGTATAATACTGAACACATCTCCTGAGGTGCACATCACCCAAATAACTGCTGTAGCATATGGGTGCCTGCCAAACCTAAGAATAACATTTTAACACTTAAGTAAGGAATCATTCAAGATTCTGTACATCAGGCTCATATTGGAGTATGTAGCTCCAGTATGGAACCCACACTTGGTCAAGCCCGTCGAGAAATTAGAGAAAGTGCAAAGGTTTATAACAAGACTAGGCCTAGAGCTAAGGGGTATGTCCTGCAAGGAGAGGTTAAGGGAAATCAACTTGACGACACTGGAGGACAGGAGAGATAGGGGAGGACATGATAACAACATATAAAATACTGGATAGGGACTGGATAGGTGGATAGGGACAGGATGTTTCAGTGATAGTACACAGTAACAAGGGGTCACAACCAGAAAATGAAAACTCAGATGAGTCGCAGGGATGTTAGGAAGTATTTCTTGAGTTATAGAATTGTCAGGAAGTGGAACACTCTGGAGAATGATGTAGTGGAGGCAGGATCCATACATAGCTTTAAGAGGAGATATGATAAAACTCATGGAGCAGGGAGAGAGTGGACCTAGTAGCAACCAGTGAAGAGGCAAGGCCAGGAGCTATGAATCAACCCCTGCAACTACAAATAGGGGAGTACAAATAAGTGAGCACACACACATGCACATACACACATATATACATACATTTACTCATATCACAAAAAAATAGCCTGAGCAGGACTATTGCCAAATTTGGCAGGTATAGCCCCTAATGACCTCTTGCATATAATGTAAGTTAATCTTTAAATAAAAAATGCTAGCAAAAAGTGTCTTGTACATAAAATATATGGCAGGAGCTCTCTTAATCCTAGAAAACCCTTAAGTGTTAAAAAATTAGCCTTGTACCAGGCAGGCATCACCAAGGTGTAGCTATGGAACACAAGAGTACATTGTTCCTACCATGCATAACACTGTGTGTACACAAGCAAGATGGGCAAAGGAGGAAAGGAGGGAAGAAATGCTAGAGCAATCCACTCATTTTCAAGGCTGTCTTTAATGGGATGTTGCATTAATGTCAGCTGTTGAACTTTCATTATTAAAGTGCTTAAAACCTTCAAACTGTATTATACTGGATAATTTTCGTTAAGAACTGTTTATGGTAATCACATAAATTCTTAATCTCTGCATATAAATTAAAAATGCACCTCTGTATGAGGCGATTTAATTTTCTTGAAATTCATAACAAGATCAAATGATTGTGGCTAACACTAGTACCAACTGGGATATTTTATGTATTGTTGAAGCTCCCGAATTATTATTATACACTATTCAGAAACGTGCTAAATCCATATGGGTCATTTTCCCAGGACTGAAAAACAACAGCATGTGTACAGCCTACGATGTTGAAACCCGTTGAACTAAAGGGAAACAACTATGACACTACAAGCATGTTTGCAGTATTGAAGTTTTTCATGCGACATCACCACTTGCTGACTCACCATGTTGGGCATCAAGCATCAATGATAAACAGATACACATAGCATGCCTGTTTTGAGAGTTCTCTCATCCTTGAAAGCCTTTATCTTGATTATTCCTTGTTGTGCTGTTAGGTATAATAACTAACATAGTGATAAATTTAATCTAGCATTCTGCAGGCTCCCCAAGGATTTAGAAATAGAAGAGAGATGGATTTCTGCCACAAGGTGGAAAAACTGGGAGCTAAGAGAATACAGGCATCTGTTTAGCAAACATTTCACTGCTTCCACTTTCACAATTGTATAGCATGGTAGTACAGTGATATTTATCCCTGGATGGTTGCTGTCTAAGAACTTCCTACCAATGTGGAAAACATTTAACAGACTTTTGTTTCATACACAAGGCAGGAGGGTACAGTAATACCTTATTGAATGGTTAATATCTACCAACTTACAGCCTAAAGTGTTAGTCTTTATATACTGTATAGCAAATTTAGGCTTTGGTCAGTTTGAAAGTATTATGAAGCAAATTAAATACGGTACACAGAATATATAAAATAGCCTGAGATATCTGTCAAGACTAAGCTTCTTCAAATTTTATGGAAAAATTATCAATACACTTATAGGAAATTAATTTACAAAAATATTATTAATCATTATCAGCACTATATGACCCTTGTGGGTTTAGCACTTAGTTTTGATTATAATAATAATATATTATTAATCATTATAAAAAATTTATGTGGAAACTTTTTTACAACAAAATTTGGCCCCACGACATTTTCTTTCTACTGTGAACGACATTAAAAGGAAGAGTGAAGGGTCATTTTTATGACTTGGCTCCAGTACCAGAAAATACTGTAAATAATTATTTAAAGTACATTTCTTAAAGGAGAAAAGCTATTATGATTGCATGATAACCCACTGAACCGCATCTCCATCTAGCCTTTAAAGTTCCAGTGCTATTCTATAATGTACTTCACACCAGTTTCCGTTCATGGGTCCTACTAGCTCACACTCTGTCATTACATTATATTTTTAAAACATCTTATCTCACTCCAGTCTAATATATTCACAAGAGTGTAGCTGGCAGATTCTCTAGCCTGCATCTTCACAACCTGCTTCCAATGCTGCCTTGGAAGTCATTCACATATCCTTCCATCCACCTTTCATTTATACCCTTTAATTAAATTTATACTGTGCTGTATACACAGTAGTTCACCTCAGTACCATAATGAGAATTATCACAATTATACAACTGTTGTACTAACGACCACAATGAACATTATATTAGAGCAATATGTTATGGTTTTTAAATCTAGAGCTGGGTAAAAGAGGCTGCTGATGGCTTTTTTTTTTTTTTCTGGTACCACACCACCTCCAAGGTGCATCAGTTTATCCACATTGACCTGATTTTTTTTTTTTTTTTTTTGCATGCGGCAAGTGAACACGCGGAGACAATATCACACTTTTGCGTAGAATTACTACCTTATTAAGCTGAGAAGTCGACTGAGGATCACAATTCTACACCTGTTCAGCCAGCTGGAAGATACACATGTGAAAGCTGTTAAAAGTTGGTTTAGATATGCGCTCATTCTTACGTTAATGGTTAAAGTTACTGACCGATTAAACTGAAATTAGTATTTCTTCAAAATCCATGTACAGTATAGTTCATCAGGAAAAGTTCACACAATTAGTAAAGCCCAATTCTTAACACTGTGGAGGTCCCATATTCACAAATGGCTAACAATTGACTCAAGAAATCGTAATGACACGATTGCAAACAAACCATACCCCCGGCCGGGATTGAACCCGCGGTCATAGAGTCTCAAAACTCCAGCCCGTCACGTTAGCCACTAGACCAGCTAGCCACAATAAGATTCATCCAACTAGGTATATTTCTACACCATAGGAAGGTTAGCACAGGCACTACTGTGACCACAAATGCAAGTTTTTACAGACGAATCTCCAGCTAGCGTGGCCGTGACGAACTCTAGCTCAAGTCCCTTCACTGCCGTCAACATGACTCAAGAAATTGTAATGACACGATTGCAAACAAACCATACCCCCGGCCGGGATTGAACCCGCGGTCATAGAGTCTCAAAACTCCAGCCCGTCACGTTAGCCACTAGACCAGCTAGCCACAATAAGATTCATCCAACTAGGTATATTTCTACACCATAGGAAGGTTAGCACAGGCACCACTGTGACCACAAATGCAACTTTTTACAGACGAATCTCCAGCTAGCATGGCCGTGACGAACTCTAGCTCAAGTCCCTTCACTGCCGTCAACAGTGAAGGGACTTGAGCTAGAGTTCGTCACGGCCACGCTAGCTGGAGATTCATCTGTAAAAACTTGCATTTGTGGTCACAGTGGTGCCTGTGCTAACCTTCCTATGGTGTAGAAATATACCTAGTTGGATGAATCTTATTGTGGCTAGCTGGTCTAGTGGCTAACGTGACGAGCTGGAGTTTTGAGACTCTATGACCGCGGATTCAATCCCGGCCGGGGGTATGGTTTGGCTAACAATTGAATTAAGATTTTTTTTAATATAGCACTATTTAGTAATTATAAGTGTTATTGCTCCCAATAATTTTGTCATTTTTCATTCGCATTTACCGTAAAGTAAATAGCCTACCTCCCAGTTATTCTGAAACAGTTCAGTTACAAAAGGTTCTTACATAAACATAAATTGCTTCATAATCTTGTACAACCAAGGCTCTAAAGTTTTTATTTTTATTTGGATCAAGTATCAAAAAAATCTAATTGCAAATTTATAAGAATTTCTGGCTTTGCTTTGTGCAGGTCAACATTAGTACATTGAGATATACGACTGTGCTTTGTGTTGCTCACGAGAATATACTGTGATATTTAATAAAGTAACTCTGTAAATATTGATGCCTTTTTCCCTCCATCCTGCTGATGTATTTTCCTCAACACTTCCCATTCTTCCCCTCCTTCCTGCTGATGTATTTTCCTCAACACTTCCCATTCTTTCCCTCCTTCCTGCTGATGTATTTTCCTCAACACTTCCCACTCTTCCCCGCCTTCCTGCTGATGTATTTTCCTCAACACTTCCCACTCTTCCCCTCCTTCCTGCTGCTGTATTTTCCTCAACACTTCTACCTCCTCTCCCCCTTTCTGCTGACGTATTTTCCTCAACACTTACTCCTCTTTCCCTCTTTCCTGTTGATATACTTTCCTCAACACTTTCACTTCTCCTCCTCCTCCCTGCTAACGTCATCCCCCAAGCACTTCCCCCTCTTTCCTTGTTATCTTCTTACCTCTGCCATGTAGTGCTGAATGATTCTTAATTGTTAAGCACTATCCATAGCTTTAATAATAAGATATTCTAGCACCCCTTTCTCCTGAGCATTGGAATTAACTTAAAATAGGACTCAGCATCGGCAAATCACAGATGCCTAAATTGCACCCAGACATCTAACCTTGAGCTTGCATAATTCCATAAGTTTTCATCAAATTCTGCACTTTTGGGGCCATTACCTTCAGAAAAAAAATTCTCTACCATTACAGAACATAAAATTACTATTTTTTTTCATGTATTGTTGGTAGAATTACTGACAGTATGTTAGGTAAAAGGACACAAGCACAATTAATGTGACATTTTATTGTGGCAACGTTTTGCTCTCCAGGAGCTCTATCAAACCATTAGAAACAATACATGGATACAGAGGGCATATACGTATAGGCTGAGTGAGGTGTAATACTAATGGCAGTAGTAGTAATATTAGTTGTAGTAGTAGTAGTAATACACGTGGTAGAACAATCAACTTGCACATGAGTAAAAGGTTATAAAAGCTATTACTTGGGTAGCATAAGAATAGGTTAGACAAATATTTCTGTTAGTGGTTGGAACTGAGACGGCCTGTTTCAGTGTTCCTCCTCTGTTATGTTCTTGTGTAGTATTAGCAGTAGCGACTATATGATGGCAGGGTTTATTGTTTAGATGAAGCTGCCTTTATTTTGCTTGATTGTGTAAGAAACAGCGATTAATGATGATTCAAGGTATTTATGTCTGCAGAAATTAGGCTCTCTGATCACTAGTCTGGCGTCGTTGAATTTCATGAGGTAATTTGTGAAATTCCGGTGTTGTACACAGGTGTTGTTCAAGTTATTGTTCCTACATGCTTTAATGTGTTCATTGAGATGTGTTTCAAGGTTCCTTGCTGTTTCACCTACATATATTCTGTCACAGCCTCCACAAGGTATAGTGTAAACTCCTGCATTGACTGGATCATGGTGGTTCGATTTTGTCCTGGTTAGATCCCTTATGGAAGTGCTGGATGTGATAGCATCCCTCATGTTACTTTGTGCAAGTACTTTAGAAACTTTTAATGCAACCTGGCTGTTGGGAAGGATTATAACTTTGTTAGGAGTGGTGTTGATGCATGGAGAATTAATGATCTGTAGAGCTCTTGCAGTCTTTGATGAAAAAATGAAGGAAAATATAGATCAGTGAAGGTTTGGTATATATATGTACACTCCTCATCAAGAAACTCAGGACTACAAATTCGGTATGCTCTGTCTAACCTATTTTTATGCTACCCAAGTAATAGCTTTTATAACCTTTTACTCATGTACAAACTGACTGTTCTACCACATGTATTACTACTACCACTACCACTAGTATTACACCTCACTCAGCCTATATTATACCCTGTGTCCATGTATTGTTAGTAACGGCTTGCTAAGCTCCTGGAGAGCAAAACGTTGCCACAATAAAATGTCACATTAGTTGCATTTGTGTCCTTTTACCTAACATATTTTTTTTTAAATTGCAAGAGTCGGCACTTTTAATTTTGGGGGTCATAACAGTGAAAGGGTTAAACAAGGGTGATTTGTCATCTCTTACTTGAAAGATATAGCAATTTCCCAAGGATAAATTACCAACCAATTTTGACATCTGAGAACTTTTCCTGTCTTCCACAATCTGTTGAGTCCTTTATAGTTGCAGTAAACAAGAAAGACATATACATGTATATTGAAATGTGTGTGATATAAAACTCTCCTAAAGTGGCTATACACGGTTTTCATATTGTATACAAACAGTTCTCTGATATCTTTAGTGGACAATAGGAAAGAACTTTGTGGCTAGGTTGAAACAACATAGATATTTAATAAGATATTTTTTTAAGTACCAGACACGAATTTAGCGTCTACTCTTATATTAAACTGACAGGTCACCTGGTAGGTTGGGAGCACTTTGAAAAATTCATTCCTAGTCATTTTTGCTTGAATTAAAATTCTTGAATATTGTCTCAATAAATATAAGTTGAAATAACTAATTTGGACAATGACGTGTTCAAATTCAATAGTTTTTTAAAGGAGAATATATATGAAGTTCAAAAACTAGGAAGCCTTGTCTTATGATAATGTAGAACTTGTATTCTGGCAAAATTCCAAATACGTAATACATTCCTTGTTCATGTTACTTGTGTCATGGTTTATATAATTATGGGAGAAATATTTATAAATATTAAGTCAAGGTTTGCTCACCATTATAAATGACGGGTTTCATGATAACTTCTGCAGTATTAGTAGACCCTAACTGTAGTTTTAATTATACTAATTTAATTTTTTTATTTATGTGTTAGTTGCTTTGAAATATGCGTGAATAATCACAGGAAAGTTCTCAAGCACTGAATTCAACTTTCACTGTTTCATTCCACATTCCTTAATGCACTATTTGAGCAGCTGTGAAGTGGCCCAATTTAAGCAGCTTATAGAAGCAGACTACCGGACATTGGAGGGGTGTCATACAGCTGGCCATGAATGCAAGACCAAAAAGAAGCCAGTTCAACAAAGCAAGTCTTGGTGATGGAGAACAAAGGAGCAGACAGCGTATGTGACCAAGTGGGCTAGCTGCAGAATGCAGGTCAGTGGGAAATCAAAGTCAGGAAGGCTAGAGTGGGCTGATCACACTGGGCAGTGAGTGACCATATCGAAGAGGAGCCCCAGTCACTTGTAGGAAGGCCATGATCAGCAGTAGCTAACTATGTGGAAATGCAGACAGTGATGGGCATCATCTGGGCAGTCCAGCTTCCAGGCAAATCAAGCAAGGGAGTTCCCCAGGCACAGGTAGTATGTGGCTGTTTCTCAGTGTAGCAGTGCCAAGGTAGACAGCTGGATGCTACAGAAACATGACATGACCAGCAAGTGTCATTGGGAAAACAACTATCATTTCTGTCACCAGGTCAAGACATCATGTGTCTTGACCTAACTGAGCCACTGAAGAGTAATGCAGAGGAGACTGAAGTGGATGGTGATTGGCAGTTCCTGAAGCATCACCAAGTGGCAGGAGAGATGTCATTCCCTATGGTGCCAAATTGTAATCTAACCAAGCCAGCAAAGATCAACACATTGGAGACAGGGAGGGAATGATAGTGAGCACAGCAACACATGTAACAAATATTTCCCACCTACCCTGCCAATATTAGGTTCACTCCCTCCAGTGTACTTATAAAAAATGAGAGTATGATTGTGAAAGAGAAGAGTGTGGAAGAGCAAAATGAAGAAGGCAACCTTCGGTCACCATAATGTCTTGATTTGAGGAGATTTTGCCCCCCACAATGCCAAGCCTCTATCTGACAGATCTGGTAAGGATTGTTACACTAAGGCTGAAGTGGACAGTGACTGTTTGGAATCCTTGTGTCATACATGGTCTAGTCAAATCTCAACTTGACTGAGCCAGCAGAGATTAACACACTGGAGGCCAAGGTGGACACTGTAAGGAGTTTCCAGATCATGACAGGAGGCAGAGATGTCATCCCTGCAGGAAATCTTGACATGAATGCGCTTGCAGCACTGAAGACCAAGAGTGATGAAGGTCGTCAAAGAGTTCCCAGATCATCCCTAGGAGGCACAGTAGTCGTCCCTTGCAACACCACTTCTCCACCTGACAGATTGGTGGGTCCACAGACCAGGATGTTGGAGATGACTGCAGAAGTGTTCAGTGACGATGGAAGACTCCACGATTGAGGGATTCATATCACCTAGATAGGATAGCCAGTTCAAGTTGTATGCATAAATAGCTTTTTTGTCTTTTTTGTATTTGTTTAAATAACTTGTACAGTAATTGTAATTTTAATAAGTTTTGCATTTACTAATTTGTCAGTTTGGCAGATGTCTAATAAGGTAGTGCTGTGCAAATAAGCTGTGTTGGCATTACCTGGCAAATTTGTGGAGATGAGTGAAAGATTGCATCAGACTGAAGTGACATGACAAAACAAGAGCATATAGATGCATGGAGGACAGTTTGCAGGGGTCCTGAATTATTTCACACAAAAAAAAGATATGGCCAGTTTTAGCTGGAGAGATGAGTGCCACTCTGGATTGTGTACTGAGTTTGCTCCGAGAAAGCTGATTGGTGTAAAATCAGTGGCTACCAGCTGCCAAAATACAGCAATATGTAAACAATGAGATGTTAGAAGACAAAAATGGTGACCTGTTCTCTCACAATTGAAAACTATCAGACTTATAATAAACGGATATATTTATACACACACACACACACACACACACACACACACACACACACACACACACACACACACACCCCACTGCCAGACATGCTCTGTTTGTGTGTGTGTGTGTGTGTGTGCGTGTGTGTTTGTTTGTGCAGCATATCATCAATACATCCTTATACTGTATATGGTTCTACTTGCCTTCTAATGACGAGAGCACATAAAATAGTACATAATAACATGAACGATTTGTAAAAAAATACAAACACATTACACTTCCATAAAGTGAATAACTTGAGAGCCTGAAATTTACTGATGCACAATGATGCAATTTTGTGACGAACCAAAATTATTTATTATAATAAAGTACTTGTAAAAATTTAGTAAACTGTTTTGACAGGTACTGAAATATTTAAAACATTTCCTGTAAATGTGTTTCAGTTTATGGATTGCTTAACCCTTAAACTGTCCAAACGTAGATCTACGTTCACTCGCATAGTGCTCCGAACATAAATCTACTCTCGATTTTACATGCTTTCTTATGTAAAGGAAACATAGATCTACATTCAGAGTGCTACACGAGTGAACATAGATCTACGCTTGGACAGTTTAAGGGTTAAAGTAAAGTAATACAAGAAATATCGTACCCTGTCAAGAAGCAGGAGGGTCCACACACATTTTATCTACTGTCTTCTTCAAAATGCAATATACGTAGCAAATGTGGAAAAATTTAAGAAATAAAACTGAGATACGAAAAAAACTCAACAGAGCAGAGTAATGATACTGGCAGATGTTACATTCAAAGGATGACAGCAGTGGTTTTTTAACAACCACAAGAAAATGATAAGCTGCATAACTTGAACCTTCAAAACAAGACATGCCAAGCCAGTGATAATATTCTTTGAGGCACTTGTACTCTCTAGCCTTGAGTGTTGCTGTACTCTGGGGTGCAAGACAGGCAAAACTGCAAAGTTGAAGAATATATATATATACTTTTCACCCTATATTAATCCAATATATACAGTGGACCCCCGCATAACGATGGCATCACATAGCGATTATTTCGCATACCGCTTACTTTAATCGCAAAATTTTTGCCGCGCATACCGATTAAAAACCCGCTCACCGATTTTCGTCCGAGACGCGTCTAATGTGCGCCCTCACCCAGCCTCACATGTGCCGCCCGTGCCATTGTTTACCAGGCAGCCTCCGCGCTAACATCCAAGCATACACTCGGAATATTTCGTATTATTACAGTGTTTTCGGTGGTGTTTCTGGAAAATAAGTGACCATGGGCCCCAAGAAAGCTTCTAGTGCCAACCGTACACCAATAGGGTAAGGGAACCCATTGAAATGAAGAAAGAGATAAATTTGAAAAGTATGAAAGTGGAGTGCGTATTGCCGACCTAGTCAAGTTGTACAAAAAACCCCCCAACAACCATCGCTACTATTGTGGGCACCAAAAAGACAAACAAGGAAGCTGTTGTTGCCAAAGGTTTAACTGTGTTTTCGAAACAAAGTCGCAAGTGATGGAAGATGTTGAGAGACTCTTATTGGTGTGGAAAAATGAAAAACAGCTAGCGGGAGATAGCGTCTCTCAAGCGATCTATGTGAAAAGGCTGGGAAGTTGCATGACGATTTAATTAAAAAAAAGGCCTGCAATAGTGATGATGTGAGTGAATTTAAGGCCAGCAAGGTGGTTTAAAGAGATTTAAGAAGGTAGTGGCATCCCTAGTGTGATAAGGCATGGTGAGGCTGCCATTCGGACCAAAGCAGCTGAAAAATATGTGCAGGAATTCAAGGAGTATATAGAAAAGAAGGACTGAAACCTGAACAAGTGTTTAATTGTGATGAAACAGGCCCTGTTCTGGAAGAAAATTGCCAAGCAGGACCTACATTACTCAGGAGGAAAAGGCACTCCCAGGACATAAGCCTATGAAAGAAGGCTTACTCTTCTCATGTGTGCCAATGCTACTGGTGATTGCAAAGTGAAGCCTTTATTAGTGTACACTCTGAAACTCCCCGAGCGTTCAGGGAAAAGAATTCCTCAAGGATAATTTGTGTGTGCTGTGGAGGGCAAACAGTAAGGCATGGGTCACTAGGGAATTTTTCTATAACTGGTTACACCATGCATTTGCCCCCAATGTGAAAGATTACCTAACTGAAAAGAAATTAGAACTTAAGTGCCTCCTGGTGTTAGACAATGCCCCTGGTCATCCTACAGACGTGGCAGAGCGACTTTATGGGGACATGAAATTCATTAACATCAAGTTTTTGCCTCCTAATACCACTCCTCTCCTGCAGCCCATGGACCAGCAGGTTATTTCCAACTTCAAGAAACTGTACACAAAAGCTCTGTTTGAAACTCAACTGACTCTAAGAGAGTTTTGGAGAGATCACTTTAATATCCTCAATTGTGTAAACCTTATAGGTAAGGCTTTGGGGGGGTGACTAAGAGGACTTGAACTCTGCTTGGAAGAACTGTGGCCAGAATGTGTAGACCAAAGGGATTTTGAAGGGTTTGAGCTAACCCTGAGAGGAGTATGCCAGTTGAGGAATCCATTGGGGGCATTGGGGAAAGTCTTGGGGGGTTTGGGGGTTAGTGGGGAGGGGTGTGGAAGAGTTGGTGGAGGAGGACAATGAAGAACTAACCACTGATGAGCTGTAGATCAACTTCAAGAGCAAGAGGCCAGACCTGGGGAAAGGTTCCAGAGGAGGGAGAGAGAAATTGAAGAAGTTGCCTACTACAAAGATAAAGGAAATCTGTGCAAAGTGGCTTGAAGTGCAAACCTTCATGGATGAAAATCCCCCCTCACACAGCTATTGCAAGCCGTGCTGGTGACTATTACACTGACAATGTTGTGAAACACTTAAGGGAAGTGATAAGGAACGAGAGGTAAAAGGCCACTATGGACAGATATCTTTTGCGAAGAAGTCCAGTGACTCTGAAGCTGGCCCTTGTGGCATTAAAAAAAGAAGGGAAGTAACCCCAGAAAAGGACTTATACCTCAAGTCCTAATGGAAGGGGATTCCCCTTCTAAACCGTAAGAAGATAAGCTCTCCCCTCCTCCCATCCCATCAATCTCACCAGATCTTCAATAAAAGTAAGTGTCATGTAAGTGTGCATGCCTTTTTCAGTTTGTGTGTATTAAAATTAATATTTCATGTGGTAAAAAAAATTTTTTTTTCATACTTTTGGGTGTCTTGCACGGATTAATTTTATTTCCATTATTTCTTATGGGGAAAATTCATTCACATAACGATTATTTCGCATAACAATTACCCCTCTTGCACGGATTAAAATCGTTAACCGGGGGTCCACTGTATATATATACAGTGGACCCCCGGTTAACAATATTTTTTCACCAGAAGTATGTTCAGGTGCCAGTACTGACCGAATTTGTTCCCATAAGGAATATTGTGAAGTAGATTAGTCCATTTCAGACCCCCAAACATACACGTACAAACGCACTTACATAAATACACTTACATAATTGGTCGCATTCGGAGGTGATCGTTATTGGGGGTCCACTGTATATATATATATATATAATATATATATATATAATATATATATATATATTATATATATATATATATATATATATATATATATAATATAAATATACAGTGGACCCCCGGTTAACGAACTTTTTTCATTCCAGTAGTATGTTCAGGTGCCATTACTGACCGAATTTTTTCCCATAAGGAATATTGTGAAGTAGATTAGTCCATTTCAGACCCCCAAACATACACACACAAACGCACTTACATAAATACACTTACATAATTGGTCGCATTTGGAGGTGATCGTTAAGCGGGGGTCCACTGTATATATATACATACACACACACACACACACACACAGGAAATAAAATGCCTCAGAGGACGCAGATGGAGACTCAGTGGGAGGAGGAAAGGGTGAGGTCAGTTTTTGTGTACGGGCTCCAAGAAGCCAAGGGGGCCAACTTTGAAGAAATAAAACAGGAGGAGAAAAAAATGATTGAAGGCATCATGAAAACAATAGGGGAGGGCAATATGACCCAGGTGACAAATTTTCAGAGAATTGGGTGGTTTGCGAGTGGAAGGATACGGCCTGTCAGAGTAACTTTCAAGGAAGAATCAGTTCGAACCAGGATTCTGCAAGGGGAAAGCAAGACTGAGGGACAAAGAGGGGTACCAGAAGTATACCTCGACCGCGACAGAACACAAGAAGAAAGGATTTACACTGAAAGAGAGGGTACAGAGACGCAAGGAGGAACGAGAAGCAATGAAAATGAGCAGGACCCAGACACAGGAGGAAGGCAAACAAAACCCCCCCACAGAATCCCCCACCAAAAACTCCACCCGCGACATTCCCAACGCAACTGAGCAACCTATACTACAACCCACTCACTGTTCCCCTGCCACCAATCCCCATATCACAAACCTCACCCCAACAGCTGTCCCTTATGGGCATTCTTTACCCCACCCCCATCAACACAAACCCCACCTACACCACAGCCCCATATAGGCCCCCACCAAGGCTCCGCTCCCCCAACCCCAATATTCTTGCATGACCACAATGATAGAAAAGAAACTAAAGGTTTGGTACACAAACGCAGATGGAATAATGAATAAACATGAGGAGTGGGAAAGAAAGAATCAGTGAAAAAATCCCCAGACATCATAGCAGTCACAGAAACAAAACTCGCTGAGACAATAAGAGACACAATCTTCCCAACAGGATATCAGATCCTGAGGAAAGATAGAAGGAGTAAAAGGAGGAGGAGGGGTTGCACTGCTCATAAAAAACCGATGGGGATTTGAGGAAAAGGGAAAGGGATGGACATGATTGGAGAAAGAGACTACATTGTAAGTACAATTCAGTCCGGAGAACATAAAGTAGTCATGGAGTGATGTATAACCCACCCCCCGAACCCGCAGGAGGCCAAGAGAGGAGTACGAAGTAAACAACAGGTGATGGTGGACACACTGGCTGAGGTGGCAAGAAGAGCTCACTCGAGCAGAGCAAAGTTACTGGTAATGGGCGATTTCAACCACAGGGAGATCGACTGGGAAAACCTGGAGCCACATGGGGGTCCCGAAACATGGAGAGCCAAGATGATGGATGTGGTACTTGAAAACCTCATGCATCAACATGTCAGGGACACAACCAGAGAGAGAGGGGAGGATGAGCCAGCAAGACTGGATCTTGTGTTCACCCTGAGCAGTTCAGACATTGAGGACATCACTTATGAGAGGCCCCTTGGAGCTAGCGATCATGTGGTTCTGAGTTTTGACTATATAGTAGAGTTACAAGTGGAGAAGGTAACAGGAACTGAAGGGGAAAGGCCAAACTATAAAAGGGGGGACTACACAGGTATGAGAAACTTCCTGCAGGAGGTTCAGTGGGACAGAGAAATGGTAGGAAAATCAGTAAACGAGATGATGGAATATGTGGCAGCAAAGTGCAAGGAGGCAGAGGAAAGTTTTGTTCCCAAGGGAAACGGAAATAATAGGAAGACCAAAACGAGTCCTTGGTTTACCCGAAGGTGTAGGGAGGCAAAAACTAAGTGCAACAGAGAATGGAAAAGGTACAGGAGGCATAGGACCCAGGAAAACAAGGAGATTAGTAGAAGAGCCAGGAACGAGTATGCACAGATAAGGAGGGAGGCCCAGCGACAGTATGAAAACGACATAGCATCGAAAGTCAAATCTGACCCGAAACTGCTGTATAGCCACATTAGGAGGAAGACAACAGTCAAGGACCAGGTGATAAGGCTGAGGAAAGAAGGTGGAGAACTCACAAGAAACGATCAAGAGGTATATGAAGCTAAACACGAGTTTTAAAGGAATATTTACAGTAGAAAAGGAAGGACTCTGGGGGAAGACCAAGGGGACACCACAAAAAAAACCCCAAAAGTGTTGGACGACAACATACAGATGAGGAGGAGGTGAAGAAACTGCAAAGGCTTTAAACCCTAAAGGCAAGGGACCAGACAACATCTCCCCGGGGTCCTTAGAGAGGGAGAGATATTTTTTGTCTGCACTTACCAAAAATTTCAACACACCCCCGGAAATGGGCAATTTACTGGGGTTTGGGAAGACGGAAAAAATTTTTAGTTCCCTTTTTTTAAAAAAGGAACAAAAAAGAGGCACAAACTATAGCCCTGTGTCATTGAGTGTAATATGAAAAAATTTAGAGAAGATTATCAGGAGGAGAGGGGTGGAGCCCTGGAACGGAACAGGATTTAAATGCCAACCACACGGATCACGGAAGGCAAATCCTTGCACAAACTTCGGGGAGTTTATGATAAAAAAACAGAAGTAAGACAAAA